TGTTCTTTCCTTTCTTAAGGGTGGGGAGGGGGAAAGGAGGATTTTGACCAGAGTTAGGATTCCTGGCCCTCTCCTCCGGCCACCAGCCGATGGCCCCTGCGGCTGCCTCATCTGCTGCTGGGCACCAGGATGCTGACCCCCTTGGGAGTGCTCTGAGGATTGTTCCAAAGAACGCTGTGCAGCCAGGGGTGCCAAGCTGGGTGCCCCCACATCATAGGGGCTCCACAGAAGGTTTATTTCTTCCATTAAGAAAGAGGAGTGGTGGGGCGCCTGGGTGGTTCAGTCGTTAAGCGTCTGCCTTCGGCTCAGGTCATGATCCCAGGGTCCCGGGATCGAGCCCCGCATTGGGTTCCCTGCTCAGCGGGAAGCCTGCTTCTCCCTCTCTCACTCCCCCCCGCTTGCATTCCTGCTCTCGCTCTCTCTGTCAAATACATAAATAAAATCTTTAAAAAAAAAAAAGAAAGAAAAGAAAGAGGAGTGGACTTGCAAGAGAAATGTTCACTTGCCATGCCACTGAAATTGTCCAGATCTTGGCATAATGCCTGGCCCACAGTGTGGGAAAGGAGGACATTGGAAGGTGGGGGGTGGGGGGAGAGAAGCAGGGAGAGAGGTGGAGGGAGAGGAAAGGAGAGGAAGAGGGGGGAGGAGGGAGGAAGTACGAAAATGGCGCCATCACCCAAATGTTCCCCAGACCAAGAAGCGACTTGGTCCCGACGCAAGATTTTCTTCTTCTTCCAGGGTGGAAATGAGGCTGGGGCCCTCAGACCCGGGGCACCAGGGGAAGGCAGCCAAAGGACCGCAGGGTAGAGTGGGTCAGCACTCTCGTTTGTTCAGGCAGCTCCCCGGACTAGGGAAAATCTCTCTCTCGGCCACCATGGTTCCGAGGGTTCGGGCCCTTCCTGCTACCCCTCCAGTCACCGAAGGACCCTGGAAACCACCAGGCCACCCCTCTCATCCCCAGAGGCTCCTGCCTCTCCTTTGCCGGATCTCCGTCTCAGGTCTGCTTTATCATGAACCTCCTGGGCCTCTGGGGCAGGCCTCCCAGGTGAGGAGATGCGGGTGGCCAAAGGTCACAAAGCTCAGCAGTCACATGCCCCGAAGGAGACTGCTGTCCCTCCCACAAGGGCACAGCGTGCACCAGGCCAGCCAGCATTCCTCCCGGTCCCGAGTTTGCGGCTTCTCCGCCAGGGCCAGACTCAAGGGAGGGGCAAGTGCCTGCAGCCAGCAAGTCCCTGCCCCAGAAAGCCAGAAGCATCTCCACAGTGACCCCAGGGACACAAAAAGTGACGAAAGCATCCATGAGTAACCTTCCCCGTCCACCCCAGGCATCTCTGCCCATCCGCCTTGGGGCACCTGTTCAGCTGCCCTCCGACCCAGTGCTCAAGATCTGCTTCCTCAAACCCACCCACCAATACAAAATCACCCACCCCAAAGAACCTGAAGTCGAATGTCACACATTAGGCCCTAAACAGGGAGCTAGAACTCAATGCTCTGTTTTGTTTTTATGAGGAAATTTCCACAAGAACATTTCATTTATTAAAATAATTCCTGTAAACTCTTTCGGAATAATAAAATTCATTTTCCTTGCTTGAGTAGCATGGTAAGTGGAAGTACTTTTATTTCAAGGCACCATAAAATGAGTCTCTCTAAGAACACCTCTGCCTCCACATGTGAAAATCCTAAAAGAAGGAAAAAGAAAGAAAGAAAGAAAAAAAAACCAACTCCTCATGGCGATCATGACCATCCACAAACTTTTGTTAATTTTGACTGTTCAACAGGATGTGGGTTACGGGGGGTGGGGGGGGCCAGACACCACTATTATCATCAACAACCCTTAGAACAGATCCCCCTGCTCAGGCCCCAGAAGGGCAGAGGGATGAACTGAACCCAAGTGGGGCAGGGGACCTTCAAAACCCCAAATCCCCGTAAACGCGGTGGCTCTGGCTACCTCCGCCCCCCTCACTTCTCCTCCTCCTCACTCAGGTTGGCATTCCCCTGGCGCGTGGACATCAGCTTGGTTTGCAAAAGAGCCGCTAGTTTTTTGGATGTCTTTTTGAGAAAGGCGCTGCCCGGGTGGGCACTGTTCACATGCAGGTACAGGTCCTCCTGGGTGGGACCCGTGTAGCCACAATCCTCGCAGACGTAGAGCTTGTCCCGGCGTTGCTTGTAGGCATACTGCTGCTGCACCCCGTGGATCTTCTTCAGGTGGGACTCCAAGGAGCAGCGCTGGGTGAAGGCTTTGTTGCAGATGTCACATTTATAGGGGCGAATGCCTGTAAGGTCGATGGGCAGACACATCACCAGTGGGTCACAGCCAAGCCAGAGCCTCCGAACCACGAAGCCATTTAAAAACATGATGCACAAAAACGAAAACAAAAACCATGATGCACAACCCAATAGCAAAAAACCAAACCGCCTGGTTCAAAACTGGGCAGAGGAACTGAATAGACCTTTTTCCAAAAGAGGCATGCAAAGAGCCAACAGGTACATGACAGGGTGCTCCACACCGTTGATCGTCAGGAGAATATGAATCACCTCCCACCTGTTAGAATGATTACCATCAAAGACAAGAGATAGCAAGGGTCCTTGAGGATGTGGAGAAAAGGGAACCCTCGTGCACTGTTGGTGGAAATGTAAACTGACACAGCCATATGGAAACCAGTATGGAGGCTTCCCAAAAATCAAAAATAGCACTATCACGTGATCCAGAAATCCCACATCTAGGATATATACTCAAAGGAAATGAAAAGAGGATCTGAAAGGCACATCGGCACACCCGTGTTCACTGCAGCATTATTCACAACAGCCAAGAACATGCAAATAACCTCAGTGTCCACCAACGAATGAATGGATAAAAAAGATGTGGTATATTTATACAATGGAATATTATTCAGCCATGAGAAAGAAGGAAACCCTGCTATTTGCAACATCATGGATGAACGGTGAGGGCATTTTGTGAAATAAACCAGACGGAGAAAGACAAATGCTGCGTGGTACCACTTATGTGTGGAAAAGTCAAACCCATAGGAACAGAGTGGATAAACAGTTGCCAGGAGCTGAGGGGTAGAAAAAATAGGGAGAGAAAAAAAATCAGCCTGACCAGGGATTCAACATGAGAAAAATGATTAAGGCAGGAGACAAAGTATGTCTACAAGGGTTCGATGCAAACTTAGCAAAGAAACACCACCTGGCTTTGGGAGGAAGGGTTTTGGCTTTCCCACTTGTATGCCTTACTGTTTTGATTTTATAGTGGGCAGAGTAAACCTTGTTTTTATTTTAGTTGCGGTTTTCCTGGGAACAGACCCCGTGACAAAGATCCCAGCAGCGCCTGTCGGTGAGTGAAGAGGTGGGGCAGCGAGAGGAAGGAGCCCTACAAGGTGGGGACAGCAAGGCGGTCACTGCTGTGGGCGACCAGAGTCCACTTCCACCAGACAAGGTAGAACACTTACCTCTGAGTCATCCTGCCCCTCACGGCTAGGGTCTTCCCCCACCCCCGCCCCACTCCAGCAGCCTGTCAGGGGCCGACCCTGGGGGGTGCCGATTCTCCTTCCCTGTCTTGTGCCAGCAAGAACACTCTCAGGCAGAGTTGCAGGTGTGGGCAGCTGCAACGTGGATGGGTGTGCCCAGAAATGGCAGGAGCCAGGGGTGTGGGCGGGACATGGGTGGCATCTGCTACGGTTATGAAAGCGTTTCCAAACTAGATCTCATGCTGGCCTTAGCAATAGGCTAATACCAGTGGGGCTTGTCTTCTAGATGGAGAGTTCCCATGTGCCATCTCCACCAGGGAGCTCAGCCTCATGAAAGCACAGACCTCCCTATTTCCACTAAGAGCACTCATCCTGACTGTGAGGGCAGAAAGTCACATGAACTGATGTAAGTCAGACCTAACGTAGGCTCTAAAGGGCGAGTATTGCTGGGGTACGGGGAACAGATGGGGGGCGGCCCCCACAGTCAGACCATCTTAGAGCCCAGAGGCCAGCTGAGCCATCCCCTACGGGAATCCCCAAAGCCTGAGATGCAAAATTTAAGGGCATGCCAAAAATTCATCAGTCAAGTGAGATAATATTTCAAAAATCGAAGCACATTTAAAAAAATCCACAGGACCCAGTTATCAAAATCTTAAACAAGGACAAGACCCAACAGTGCCATCCTGGAGCTTGAGGCAAAAGGAAAGACGAGCACTCTATGTAGATGTTTTCATGTATTTTTTAAACGGTTATTCTTTTCCCCATAATGTGCTAGCTGTTGAAAAAAATATACTGAACAACTGAAAAGTAGCTGAATTAAAACTCACATTTTAAAATGTTTAAATATTTTTTTTTACACAAAAATGGAATTTATGATGATTTTACTATCCTGGCTTTAATGGAAGCAAACTTATCCAAAGATATTTTCAAAATCTACTTTTTTAGCTTCAAAATAATCTGGAGGATTCCTCTATGTTGGTGCCTATAGCTCGGTTTCATTCCTTTTCACAGCACCATGGTGTTTTGTTGGACGGCTATAACCAAATGCCATCTTTCACAAGCCAGAGACAGACTGACTGCCTTGTACAACCGGGTCCTCACGCGTGCTCCTCGGGCCAACAGTCAAATTGCGTCCCCTGGGAGCTTCTAGGAAATGCAGAGTCCTAGCCCCTCCCACCCCACACCCGCCCCGACTGAATAAAATGTGGAGTTGTGGTCCTCAAACCCAGGGGGCTCATCAAAACACAGATTCCACGCCCCAGCCCTGGTGTTTCCCTTTCTGGGACAGGGCTGAGACTCCTGCGTTTCTAGCGTGTTCCCAGGTGATACGGAGGCTGCTTGTCCCAGGACCTCTTTGGGAGTCACCGGTCTAAGGCCTCGCCAAATGAGGTGTGACCAAAATGAACATTTGAATAGACCCATTACCAGCAAGGAGATTGAATCAGTAATCAAAAAACTCCCAACAAACAAAAGTCCAGGACCAGACGGCTTCACAGACAAATTCTACCAAATGAGGCATGAGGACGGCACTTTGGGGGTCTGAAAGCAGCTCTGGCCCCAGTATTTTCTCTTCCAGGTTAAATGTCCCCACTTCCTTAATGGTGGCTCATGGAGGGGGGCCGAGAGAGCCCCTCCTGTTCACGAAGTGCACAGATGATATGGGAACTTGAAATGGAAAAAAATATTCCCCCCACCCCCATCCAACCACCTGAACAAACCAAATCGCTTCCATTTCTCATGCAGTCCACGTCCAGAAGCACGCACATGAAGCGTATCCTGTAACACTCAAGCAGAATGCAAGTCGATCTTATATTCCACACATTCTAGAAAACTGCCAGAAGTTAAGAAACTCCTTTACAATTCTCGGCATTGAGCACATACTAGGTGCTCAGTAAATAATTTTTAAACGAAGGGATGAATGAATGAACCCCTACTGGCCCGGAGAAAGAGATTTAAGAAACAAATTTAAGGAACAGAGGGCTGCTTTGGGTTTCATGCTCGAGCCCTAGAGCGCTCTGTATCTCTTCAGGCTTTCTGGGCCGCAACAGCAGCTGGCTCCCCCACCCTCTGGCAGAGCAAGGAACAAACCTGATTTCAAACCCACAGCTCATCACAATAGAAATTCTCTCAGAGGGGCGCGTGGGTGGCTCACTTGTTGAATGTCTGCCTTCGGCTCGGGTCATGATCCCAGGGTGGTGGGATCGAGCCCCGCATTGGGCTCCCTTCTCAGCGGGGAGTCTGTTTCTCCCTCTCCCTCTGCCTCTGCCTCTCCCCACCCTGCTTGTGGCACTCTCTCTCTCTCTCTCAAATAAATAAATAAAATCTTTTTTTTTAAAAAGAGAAATTCACCCAGAGACCCGTTACTCCTTTCAATAGTTATTGGAAGTAACCCGCTGCTGTTTTACATCCAAATTGAACATGTGGGGAGAAGAGTGCACTTACCCCCGGCGAGCTCCTAGGCCCCCCAGGAAAGGAAGCTTCCAGTCCTGCTCTAGGAAGCCCCGCCAATCAGTGACCCAAAAAGGTGATCTGAAGTGGCTGCTGACCAGGGCTTTGCCAGAACCCTGGCCCCCCAGCAGAGGTGAGCGTGCCAGGAGCGCATTTCCTTCTGCATCCAACAGGTCAGCTGAGCACCTTCCATGGACAGAGCACCCAACAAGGCCCGGACAAGCAAAGACTAGAGATTCCAGAGCCCTCCATCATCCAGACTATATAGAAAGAATGGGAATGACCACGGCGGGTGGGCTTTGCCCCGGGAGGGTGGGATGTGAGCCTGGCTTGGAGGACAGGAGACTCGCAGACACCAAGATGGATGGAAGACAGCAGACACCGAAAACTCCAGTTCGGGCAATTCTGACTTCTGCACACGCGCTTCACGTCCCTTCTCTGGAAATAGGACATTCATCCATCACTCACTGGTGCAAGCAGACACTGTCATGCAGCAGCTCCCCGGGTGACCCTTTCTGGGCTTGGGAACAAACCCCTGCCTCCTGGAATCCCCATCCCGCCATGAACTCAGGGGTGGGTGGGAGATGAAGGTGGCCAGAGAGGACCCCTGGGCAAAAGAGACTGATGCCAGGGCCTCCCCAACTTTGGGGACTCACCCACCTTAGCGCTCTGGAGCCAAGGCCAACCTTGTCCATGTCCGGAGTGGGATACCGGAACTGGAAAACACTACACCCTACCAGACATCATTAACCTACTGACACCACACAGCCAAGAATCCGAGGCCTCTGAAAACCCACACATCACACACCTGCTTCTCATCACATGAGCCCATGATAGACAGCTGAACCCCTCCAAACCTCAGTTTCCTCACCCGTAAAATGGGGATAACACTCATACCCCCTTGTTAGGTTGCTCTGGGGATTAATGGAGACACCACCTGCAAAGGGCCTAGCACGTATTCCGTACTCAGTGGATACAGCTCCGAAGAGTTTACAATCCAGCTTAACAGAACACGGATATGCTCTATTCCTCAACTGGCTGGTGGGCACATATGGAGTATTTGTCTTTCCATTGGCTCTAGATATGCACTTTTTGTATTTGCATGCACTTTGGGATGTATTGTTTATTTCACAGTGGGAAAAAAAAAGGGGATAATTGTTTTCAATGTGGTCATTAGGTGCCTGGTGGAGAGACCTCCTTCGCCGGCAACCCTTTCGAATGTTGTGCTTTATGGCCTCTGTGACCTCATCCAAAAAATACCGCATTGGGTTATGCAAAAGGATTTCTTCTCTTCAAATTTTCTATTCCTATTACCAAAATCAAGCTTCATATCACACATCTCCAAAGAAAATTCTTCG